AAAGATTCACTCAAGAATTTCGGAGAGATGCAAGCATTTCCGGATCATTTGATTGTAGCCTAATCCCTACCAGACCGCGCAGATTAGGGGTATGTAAAGATGGTAAAAAATCTATTGGAAGGAATCCTTGGAGATTATTCCATTCTCCATATCAATGGAATAACATACAAAAACAATTCTCAACAAAATTAAAACGAATTTCCAAACGAAAATATGATGGCACATGAACAAATGTACAGCATTTTAAATCATCTTCAGAATGATAATTTGAAGTTTAAACAAAGATTATTATCCAAAGAAAGGTCTGCGATCTTTTGCGAACTTCGACGCGATATTTTATTATTGAGTAAGTTTTGCTATTCCGTTGATTAAGGTATCAATGAAAACAAAATACTATACTGTACTTCCTCAGGTACCAAGCGCACATTTTTTTAGAATTTGAAGGGGAAAAATGAGTGTGCATCATGAGCAGGTACCAAGTGTTACAAATGTTAGAACTTGAGGTGTGCGTCAAACTTGATTCTAGGAATAATTTAGACTCATTTCAAGAAGCAATTTTTAAAAATGGCAGAAATTGAATTCAGGTTCAATTCAAGTTGAAATCCTAATGGATTCATTTTCAAAATATTGAAATTTTTCGGTCACTAAAAAAAGGGCGCAGGTCTTCCTTGAAAATTACTTATAACCAAATTTTTCGCTGAAAAATCTAGGAGCATTTCCCAAGTCTTGCTTGAGGTGCGTGGCGTGGCACTTGAGTAAACCTGATTTTTAAAAATGAACGAACCTCCAATGACGGGGTAACTTCGCTCCGCATTGGGTTCCCACAGCAACGCTGCATCAGTCGCTCTGTCATAAAACTCATCCCTGGTGTTGGCTAGAATCAACTTGAAGGGGAAATCTTTCAGGTCCGACTCGGTTCGCGTGTCATAAAAAAGTAAGCACATACTGCGCTCACAGGCGCCCAACGCGCGCCGGGCTGCAACCCTGAAGCACAAGGCAATCACTTTTTGCCACGTCGATCTCTGGATAAATACATAACATTCCTTTCCACAACTTTTTCAAGCATTCCTTCGCAATAAAGTGAGAAAAAGCGACGACAAAATTCAGGGACATAGAAATGTATTTTCCTCTATCCCGCAAAAAACCGCGTCGACTCGTGATGAGGCGATCCTAATATTGGATCATTTGACCCTGGAAAAAAAATAAAATCGGCATCAATATTAGTGATCTAAAAAATTTTTTAGACATCGATTCAGCTCACCTTCCTCTTCTTGTCACCTCCCAATTCAAAATGTTTGCAGCGCTTGAGGGGGATGTGATGTCTGTACTTGCATTCGGTGCATTCAAGACGCAGCACGATTTTCTTGGTTGTTTTGGCCTAACGGAAGGAGTAAAGAACGCTTTTCAAAACTTCTGGGATGACTCATGCGTTTCAAAGAAAGTGAACTTGAAAATGTCAAAATATAGCTCAAGTAAATAAAATCAGTTTCTTCCTTCATCGGAGTCTTGGTTTTTCCGCTCTCCATCCCGTCAAAAATTGTCGGAACAATGTAGAAAAAAGTTAGTTGCTGTTCGCAAGTAATTCAACGACACGCGCAACTGGGACAGCCTTTAAAGTGAACAAACCCCTCAAGTTTCCAATCTCCTCTGAAAAGAGCATTAAAAATCTTTTTCTTCGGATTTACAGTAAAATGTTTTATTCAAATGCGCATTGTGCAGAAATGTCATTTTATTCAAAAAATGAAATTGGAAATAATTCGACTGAAGTGAGTGAGCTTTCAATTCCTCTTTTTTTTATTTTTAAATGAATTCCTACAACATTTAGGAGTTACTGCAGTTCGTCAATCGGCCACCACTCTCCATTTCAGAACTTCGTAATATTCAGGAATACTTCCATCTTCATCTTGGAACCCTCA